CTTCATCATGAGGAGAAGTGTATTGAACACGATAAGTAACATGATAAAATATTCAAAGGGGGTTGAGACGACGACTCTCCATATCTTGTACTTTACACTGGAGCGGTCCTTTGGCATATACCGCTCAAGGGGCTTGGCCTGAATTGCAAAGTCTATGCACGATTTCTGGAGGTGAGAAAGCATGGATGGATGAATACCAACGCATGTACAGACTTACGAGCGTAGATTATATACGTTTAGATTTTTCATATGGACATTTTTTTGGGGGGGAATGTATTCATAATTTTTTTTTTTTGAAGGATATTTTGAGCTGAAATTAGAGCTAGAAGAAACTCAGTGGATTTCGTAGCTGAGTTCCGGTTGATTATTTACACCTACACGGACCTTGAATACCCGAGGAAGGGTGACCCCATCTCAGCCTCCTATTCGGCCACCTGGATCCCTGATCGTGATTTCACTAGTCTTCCTCCCTTCCTTTCTTCTTCGACCACACTTCCCTATCTCAGCCGGACCTCTCTGGATCCCACCTCCCTCTTCAACCCCACTTCCCTCTCTAAGCTGGACACCACTTCCCTCCCTAAGCTGGACCCCACTTACCTCCCTAAGCTGGACCCGACTTCCCTCTCTAAGCTGGACCCCACTACCCTCTCTAAGCTGGACCCCACTTCCCTCTCTAAGCTGGACCCCACTTCCTTCTCTAAGCTGAACCCCACTTCCCTCTCTAAGCTGGACCCCACTTCCCTCTCTAAGCTGGACCCCACTTCCCTCTCTAAGCTGGACCCCACTTCCCTCTCTAAGCTGGACCCCACTTCCCTCTCTAAGCTGGACCCCACTTCCCTCTCTAAGCTGGACCCCACTTCCCTCTCTAAGCTGGACCCCACTCCCCACTCTAAGCTGGACCCCTATGGACCCCACCGGACCCCACTCCCCGCCTCACCTGGTTCTTGTCGAGCTCTCCGTCTTGAAGCTCAGCCTCTCCTTGCTCTTGGAACGTGATGATGATCAAAGCGACGAAGATGTTCACGAAGAAGAAAGGGAACACGATGAAGTACACGATATAGAAGATGGACATTTCGACGGCGACCTGAGGCTGTGGTCCGTGGTCCTCGTACGTCGCCGCCATGGAGTTCTGGAGGACTCTGGAGTAGGGGGGAGGGGGGAGAAACGAGAGGAGATGTGTTAGAGTTGGGGGTGGTGGGTGGAGGGGGGTTGTGTGAAGTCTCGCTCTCGCTCTTTCTCTCTCTCTCTCTCTCTCTCTCTCTCTCTCTCTCTCTCTCTCTCTCTCTCTCTCTCTCTCTCTCTCTCTCTCTCTCTCTCTCTCACTCTCCCTCACAAACACGCATGCACACACACACACACACACACACGCGCACACACACACACACACACACACACACATACACACACACACACACACACACACACTCTCTCTCTCTCTCTCTCTCTTTCTCTGTCTCTCTCTGTCTCTCTCTTTCTCTCTTCTTCCCCTCACTCATTTATTCATTCACTCACTCACTTACCCACTCACTCACACCCCAATTTTCCCTCTGTACAACGACCGCCTACTTACTGAGGCCAACCCTCGCCTGTCTGGACGGCGAAGAGGGTCAGCATGGCGGCCATCACGTTATCGTAATGGAAGCTCTGTTGGTTCCACTTTCTCGGCCTAACCTCAGGCGGCCGGTCGTACCCTTCGAAGACGAAGTATTCTCCCCTGAGGGCGAGGGACAGAGGTTAGTCCATGGGCCGGGCGCGGAGCCGAGGCGAGTCCAACCCCTCGTGGGAAGGGACTGGGGGTGGAGGGGGAGGGGCACTCTCGGACAAGCAGTGGATGCCAAGAAGGGGAGTGAAGTGAGACGCTTCTAAACAACACCGAGTCTGACACTAAAAGGCGGCCCCTTCGTGTACAAGGGGAGGGGGAAGGCCACTTAGATAACATATACTCTGATAAGGGATTTTTTTCTATATTTATTTTATTATTATTGTTATATTTTGAGTTGAAACCGTATTTCAATAGCGTGGGTGTCCAGTGCCCACGTGCCCTACTGTGGCTTTTGAATATCTAAGTTATGATACGAGTGTGGATACTCTCTACATTTTTTACGAGTTCTACAGGCAGGCGAATCTCTGTGACTACAAGGATTGTATAGAGTCTTTTTGAAGTAGTTGAAGTAGATGTCTCCAGTTCGACACATTACAGAATAATCTACAGGTAATGACAAAGATTAGGTGTAGAAATGTCTCGTTCAGAATGCACTTCAGCACTGAAAGAACTAGGGACAGGTAGAATCTGAACACTAACTGTGGCAAAAGACAAGGTGAAAGATTGACCTATTTCCTACCTCGATATCATCATAAAGCTCAGTTACAAAAATCAACTGGAATACTTACTGACATTCATCTCTTGTATGTACACTCTCGTCGGTGCAGTAGAAAAACTTTCCATTGAACAGTTGTACAGCAATAACAGCGAAGATGAATTGGAACAGTATGTACACTATGAGAATATTGAACACATTCTTGAGGGAGTTGACGACGCAGTCGAACACCGCCTTCAGCTTGGGTACCCGCTTGATGGTCTTGAGGGGCCTCAGCACACGCAGCACTCGCAGTGACTTGATGGTGCTCAGGTTCTGGCCTGTGCTGCTTCCCCTGCACACACACACCAACACACATACTCCAGTTAGTAAACAACTAAGGCAGACACGAGCATGCTTTGTCTGCTGGTTTTATGGCTTTGATTTTTTTTTCTTTTTGGTCTGGGAAAATTCTTTAAATCAGGTTAGTCATTAAAAGAAAAGAAAAAATGAAATTGATAACAAAAAGTGACGTGACAAAGTCACATTTGGATTTTTGACAACATTTATAAGTCCGGAAATTTTGTAACACTTAAAAAGAAATGAATAAGTAGAGATGCTGTTTGGTCTATGAAAAATATAGAATATATAAACTCGAGATGCATCTCAGCTACAACAAGACAGGCGAAATACCAATTTCCAAAGACAGGCCAGTGCAGACGTAACTTGCAGACTACTCCGCTGCGCAAGACACAACACACACAGGTACGTGTGGCCACAACAATACACTTGTTAGAGAAATTATTGTAGGATGAATTTATCTGGTTCTTGTATCTATATATATATATCATCACTGTAAAGTATATTATCTTAATGCCGCGTGTTACGGTCATATCAACTGGAGTGTAACAAATGTAGTTTTATCACTGTGTTTGTATATCATAATGTACGGATACTGTGTCTTATCCATTAATCCATGCACAGGTTAGAATCCCTCTTCATCTTCTAGGTTCCACACAAGAAGATTCTCCTCTCAGACAAGCGGTTGAGGGATAATCTTTTTGCGTTTATTAATATTACCATTATTTTGTTTTGTTGTTTATCACTTCATGCGTTCTAGCAGACGACCGAGTTCAGGGGAGAAGATTCTCTCGAACCGCGTTTCTTTTGCTTCGTTATTTGACTTGCTTAACTTGAAGTGACTTTTAATCTGATGGGACAAAAAGGTTCAAAATGCCCGGCAAAATTCCTGCTCCCAAAAAAAGGCAGCGATGATAAAAAAGACAAAATATCAGAACAACAGGAAAGATTGCAAAGTCCACGGACACGAACAGAGGCTCAAAGACATCTCTCCCGCCACTCGGTCCTTGGCGCGAAGAACGCACAGCTCCTAAGTCTATATTTGCAGCTTTTTGTGTGTAGCTGTTCTAGAATCTAGTAATTTAGGGGTTGGAACTTTGGTCTATTTTAGAAGCACTTGTGTCGTGGGCAACAATCTTTGATTTTACCAAACACACTTTCCAGCATGAATACCATTATGTTCCCCCATGTTCTCACCAAGAGTAAAGGTGTGCATCATGTCTATAGAGAATCCCATGTGCGTTGAAAGCAATATCAGCACATGATTCTACCGTGAGCATCTTTTTTTGTGTGTGCACATCTCGCCATGCCTCCTTCTGTGCAGCGGGCGGATGCAAGTAAGTGTCAAGTGTGGACGGTGGGACTACAGTCTCAGCACCACCTATTCGCCGCTGTGGTTGTCGCTGTTGTATGACTGACTGTTGCTGTTGTGTTGCAGTGGTCGCTGGTGCAAGATCTGCTGTTGTTGGGTGGTTGAAGCGGCTCTTTAAACAGGAGTCGTCATAGACTTTAAAAGCCCAGTCAAGAAGCCTAGGATAATGCTGTGGTGAGGCGTACCGTGTGCCTTATCTTGTGACGGCATTGATAAGACTGTATCCTAAGTATTGTACACACACACTGGCCATAATATTCTGTGCGTGTTTGATTTTGGTTAAATGTGTCATTGGGACAGCTTTTTAAGAGATTTTTTTTCTTTATACATGAGAAACGTTTCATTCTGCATGTTAGATGTTTCAGACGGTACACTTGGCTGTGAGAGTAACCCTAACAAGGGTGTATTATTATTAAGGAGTAATGGTATTCAGCCTGTGTATGTAATCACAGAAAGTAATTGGATTATTTAAAGATATAGTGGATACCTCTGGCATGAGATTTGAAAATAAAACAAGCTCTTTTTGTTGTTGGAAATTTCTCCCCTGTTACATGTAGACGATTGTAGTTGTCAGAACATATGGTGGTAACAAGTTATCATTGTTGGCATGTGGTGTGTGTTAGGGAGGGGGAGGGGGAGGGTGTGTGTGGCGGGGAACCCGGTCAGAGTAGGAGGAGGGGAAGGAAGGAGAAAGAAGAGGGAAGAGGCAAAGAGGTTGAAAATTGACGAAGGAAAAGACTAGCAGAGAGGGCACAGAAAAGGAGAAGGATGAGAGGGAGAGGAGGAGTTGGAAAGGCAAATACGTAAGAGAGAGAGGGAGAGGGAGAGAGAGAGAGAGAGAGAGAGAGAGAGAGAGAGAGAGAGAGAGAGAGAGAAGAGAGAGAGAAGAGAGAGAGAAGAGAGAGAGAAGAGAGAGAGAAGAGAGAGAAAAGAGAGAGAGAAAGAGAGAAGAGAGAGAGAGAAGGAAGGAAGGAAGGAAGGAAGGATAAAAGACATTAGAAACCCGGGCTGAAATATATATATCCGCAGCCTTTCAGGTGATCTCGAGGCTGCGGGTGTCCAGGATCTGTGATGTCTCGCAGTAAATGAGTGGTAAAACCAAGAAGAACATGCATTCATGGCGGCACAAGGCAGCAGACTACAGCCGGCTCCAACCTCGGCTCTAAAATAACTAGTAGTAGGAGATCCCGGAACCCCGTAGTGGTCTAGGGGGATCAAGGAGGCTCCCCCGCGGTCACTCATTACCCTAGAGCATGCAACTATGACCCGTATGTTGTCTCATCATTGGAGTTGTTATACCGGCAAGAATCAACCTTGTCCAAGAGAGGTTTGGTATTGTTAGGACTTGATCCCGACGATTCTCAAGTCCAACTTTCTACAGTCTGTATATGCAAATTTTGTGAACCCAAACCTCTCATATAGTACCTTGTCATGCTCCTTTAAATATTGGCATAGCAATGAGCAAAAAAGCTGATGAGTAAACGGTAGTTGCAAGGATATCGAAATAAATCAATGGTAATATGTATCAAGTGCAAAATGCATACACCAGGAATCATGGTAAATAATAGTAATATGGTAATAGGCAACTCCTCTCACTATATATAAATCCACGGACTCCTCTCACTTACTTCAGTTGCAGGGAGGGTCTGCAGAGGGAGAGAATACATGAGCGTGTGATCCCTGACCCTAGAAAAGGGCCTACTTGATATAGCCAAGATAGGACCTACTTAGCCTAAATAGAGCGAATATTAAGCCTAAACTTAGCCTAAAAGACAAAAATATAAAATAAAATCGAATATTAACAAATCAATGCATAAGGGATCTTAAGGTGGAAAGGAAAGGATAGGTAAAAAAAAAAAGTCCCTAACAGATTCGAAAATATTGAAATTATGGATATGTATGTATCCCTTATTTATTATTATTATTTTTTAAGACAAAATTTTGCTTGTTTATACTTCTCTCTTTAGACACTCCATTCCCAATATCTTTCGACAGGAGGGGGGGAGAGAAGAGATCGTATACCCCGCCAGATCCTATATTTATTTCAAGAAGTTATTGTTATCGGGAAAAAAAGGATTCTGGCCATCGAAATATCGACTCCAATTAACTAGCAAATTCGCTAATGGTAAATGGTTTACTGAAACGGCTTGTTATCTTTTTTTGACACTTTTTTCTCTTTGATGGCAAGTTATCAGTTTGACATGATGCGTTATCTGCATGACCGGATATGATCGTCTATCAAAAGGGATTGTAAGATGAGGCAAAATATTTTCAGAGGAGGGGGGGTAGGGTATGGAAAAAGTCAGATAAGGAAATAAAAAATAGTTAAAGTAAAAGTTAAGCTGTAGTAGCTTATTATGCTGCCCTATATGAGGTTTTGGACTATGGAAGAGTGAAAATTTAATTTAGGAAGGGAGGATATAACCGCATTATCGATAGAAATAGAAGTCGCTTATGTCTCAAATAGGAAACAAAAATAAAAGAAAAAAAGAAAAAAAAAAACACTAAAAGTTTAGTTATCAGTTTGGTAACACCTAGATGCATATATATTATCAAAGGGTCTAAAATATCTATATCATTTTAGATTCCACCTTTCCTGTTTTACATATATATTTTTAAACTGATTTCACTTAGGGTCTACCTTATATGCTATAACTTACAAAAGGGTCTCCATATAACAATGAAACATTTAAAATGATCTATCATATTGGCATATATCATGCACAAATGACTTAAGCCAGGGTGACACTGAACACTTGTTAAAACACCTGCTGACTGGACTAACAACCATGAACCAGAAGAGCTGTTGCATAGAGAATACTTGTTGACTGAATGTTGCAAAATGAATAGCTTGAGATATCGAAAAAATTTAAATAATGGATTTGTGTTATTTCTGTCATAGTTGCTAGTTCGGTCTGTTACATAAGCACCAATCTGGCTAATTATTGCGATAATCATAAGAATAATTATGATAATTAAAGAAAAGATAATCTTAATAAAGATACTAATCTGTATTATGGTTAATAAAAAATCGAACGAGGATAATATCAAAACAGGATTATAAAACGAAAGGCGAAAAATTCGAAACAATAAGAATTATAAAATCAATAAAAGAAATGGTAATAAATATGACGATTTATACGGAGAAAAACGAAAATACGAAAATTTGAATAATCAAAGGATAATAACACAATTAACTCAGATATAACGAAAAATGATTATGATAATGACAATGGTTTATGGTGATGTGATGATGATAATTATAATGATAATGGCGTTGATGATGTTCATTATGATAAAGAACATGAAAACACTGATATCGATGGTGATAATATGATCAAGAAAACAATAATGATGAGATTAAGGATGCAAACAATGATGACAATAATGATGAAAATGATTATGCAAATGATAATGACAATGATCATAATGATAATGAAAGTGGTAATGCAGAATGAAAATGAAAATAATAATGATAATGATTATAAATGATAACAACAGCAATGAAAATAATCATAATAATGATGATGTTAATAATAATAATAACAGTAATAATAATAATAATAATAATAATAATAGTAACTGAAATATGATAATAACAATAAACATAATGGAATCAAAGCATTGTTAATAATAAACTGATAATAATAGTAATTAATAATAATAATAATAATAATAATAATAATAGTAATAATAATAATTTTGAGTAAATAAAGACACATCTAATTCATAAAACATCATATCAGTAACAGCAAAGTCAAGAAAATCAACAATATTTATGTTACTCATAAATTTTAGAAGTCAACGTTTGATTCTTGCAATTAAAATATCTAAGAACGCCAATCCTTGCATAAGTCAACGAATTATCGCCCTTATGCAAGTCTGACCTCAAAGCAATACCTTGTTGCTGTTACTGAATTTTGCAAATCGTATTCTTCACCCATCTAATTGAAGCAGGATTTTTTTTTTCTTAATTAAATAATACTATTATTCTCTTTCTCGAGAACACTTGTCCTATCAAATTATCTAGCATGTAGACTGCTTTTTTTTCCGTACTCGTCTTCACAGGCTGTTTTTCATCTTAAATATATTTTAGAGAGGAATGAAGGTGTTTTAACAGGGAAAAAGGTTCCTAATGAAATGGCTACATCAGTTGGCTACAGGAAAAAGTTTGGGTAGGAGGAAGAAGTAAATCGTACAGGTATTGGAAAATAATCGATGAGAGAAGTCTAAATTAATCGTGATCTATCTTTGAAAAAAAAGAAGAAAAGAAAAAGTTGATCTTGGATTTCTGGAAGAGGTACAAAAGAAACGCAGATTTCCTCTTTTTTTTTTGTAAGTTAAAAAGGTGGACTAGACGAAGACATTGGTAAAGATAAACGGTATCTAATCTATGGACAAAAGACTTGTTAATGAAAAGATATCAGGTTAATTAGAATTTGTGTTCATCTGCCTATAGAGAAAAAAAAAACGGACAAGGGCGTAGCTATAGACGAGGACATAGTTGTTTAAAAAATGCATAATCTAGCTACTATTCGGATGTATCTAGAGGGCAGAGGCCTGAACTATCTAGAGGGTATGGAGAGTCCGATAAAATGACCATGGAATCTATCCATGTGATGATCAGTAAGAAGGAGACTAGAGTACTGAATAGCGTGTGGTTGATGGAGATGAAGGGGAACTTCGAAATGAGGAGAGAGGCGCGAAGGAGATGGACCAACCATCACCCCTCCGCCTCCTCGATCTATCATTTACGGGAATGAGAGAGAGAGTCGACCAAAAGACAAGGTTTTCCATCCTCCTAATACTTTTGGGTCCTAAACTTACCGGCGTGGCTGACCCTGATCCCGACGCAGTGTAACCTCCCCGTGACCTGTGAGGATCTTATGACAGTGCCACCAGAAGCCGTGGGCGCCGTGCATTGTGTGTGTGTGCATTGTGGCGACTAACAGGTGCGTGAGTCAGAGAATGATATGAACGTAACACAGTGTCCTAGTGAAGATGGTGACTTTACCGGAGAACCGTCATAGTAGTGTAACACATACACACATACATGCATAGACATATACCTATGCATGTATGTGTTATGTCGATGTATGTGTACGCATTCAGAAACAATGTGTATGTTCTTTTTTTTATCCATTTGCATAACACAAAGACAATGTTTTCCGCGAGGATTGAAATAAGACAGAAATGAGTTTCTGAACATGGAGGAAATACATGACAATTAGATTTTAAACTCTCTTGGAAAGTTAACACTATGGCGCCACGAACAGAGACATGAAATAACAGAAATGTATCTAAAAACGTTGACTGTGTACAAAACGTTACAACGAAAACAGAAAACGTGTCATGATCACAGTTTTTAATTGCAAAAAAAAATAAAAGATAATAAAATTGATAATAAAACAAATCAACGAAGGGGTAAAAAACACAGACGTCAGCGCTAGTTCAAAATCAATCATAATAAACTTTACCGTGACGTGGAAAATTCTCTAACACCTGAAGACTTGTGACGTGATACGATTCTAAAAAAAAAAACACCGTGTTAGGCCGTGAACGTGTCAATCAACAAGAATGGCCGTGACACAGAGACAGAAGTGACATGACTAAAATGCTGGGTTCTAGGGCTGTCAGCAAGAGGTTTTTGAGTGCCGTGTTAATACTCACAAGAACGCAAACGCTATGAGAGCGCACAGAACCACAAGGGCATCTAAGACATTCCATAGGTCTCTAAAATACGCCCCGGGATGTAAAACAACGCCTAAATCAACGACCTGAAATTCGGGAGGATTTTGAGCGTTAAATTTGAATAAATGTTGTTGTTTTTTTTCTCGTAGTGTGTAACTGTCGTGGAAGTCTCCCTTGTTTTCTCTAATGAAAGAGGAGAGTTTGTTGGAAAGGTTCAGTACTCTGCTCCTGAAAGAGAGGAAAAATGATGGTGGCGAAAGGGAATGAGATGATGGAGAGA